GATGGGGTTGGAGGTGCGCTCCGCTGCTCCAGCCTTCTTGGAGGGCCAACTTCGTTCTCTGGTTTTGGGGCTCGGGGCCAACTTTGTTCTCTGGTTTTGGGGCTTGGGGCTAATTTTGTTCCCTGGCTTCAGGGCTCGGGGCTAACTTCGTTCCCTGGTTTTGGGGCTCGACTCACGGGCACGCCAAACGCCCTCCAGATCGAGCGAGCGTGCGTCGAATGAAAGAAGAGCCCGTGCAGAGATTCCGTGGTGGGGCTGCTTCGCTGGGCCTGAGCCTGCGGTGGCGCGCGCCGAGGGACCTTCCCGCACGGTGAGAGCACTTTGCCGTAAGAAAACCCCTTGTGCGGTATCAAAGAGCACCCTGCGACTCTTCTTGCTGCCTTCCACATGCCCCTGCGAAGGCGAGCCCCGCACTCGCCACGGTGGCAGCAGCTTTCTCCCAGCTTCAGCCTGGACGTATTGGCCTGCGTTTGTTCCTGTGCCAGCATTGTCCCCGTGCCCGAGCAGCGCTCCGCTCCTCTCCTCTGCCTCCCCCCGTGTTCACCCCTCTCCTGCGTTTGTGGAGAGCGATGGTATCTCTGCGCGCCTTTGTTCCGCGGGCCGGGCGCCCCGGCCGCTCTCCGGTTTCCCAGCCATCCCGGCAGCCCTTTGCTGCCCGCTTTCCCTCTGAGTCCACCCCGGCTGAGCATGGGTGACCAGACCCGAACAAAGTCCCCAGATAAGATCTCCCCAGGGCCCTGCACAATGGAAACTTCCGTGAAGCCCGGCCAAGGCATCCATTGAGGGATGAGATTTCCATCCCAGTGGGATGAGATTTTCCTTTGGAATAGGCTTTCCTGCTGCTCTTGGCTCCTTTGGCCAGGACGAGCATTGCTCATTCAAAATGATGTTTATCGTTGGCTTTATATCTCTTATTGCAACTTCAGTTTTTACAGTCACTGCCTGACACCCTTTACAGATACAACCCAAACCACTTTGAAGCTTGGACTTAACAAAGCCAACATTTATCAGGTTTCTGCAACCCCTCCACGTAGCTTTTTGGCAAGAAAATCTTTCTTCTGTGTTGCATTTGAAACAGGAATGAGCACTGGAAGCCCCACAGCTCCTGGGGGATTGGGAAAAGTAGATCGGTTCCCGCTATCAGCCTCCTTGAATCCCGTGCCCGTGCACTGCCTTCCCATGCAGGCAGCCCCAGCAGCCTCCTGCCAGATTTAGGTGCTTCAGTAATTCTCGTGATTTCCTAAAAAGTTGGGTTCCTCAAAGCACGGGGATCCCCACTGGATCAGTACCATCACAGGGCACCCTTTTTAAAACAGACTGGGGGGGAGAGGGGGGGATGCGGCATCCGAGTGATC